GGGAGCATTCCTCAATATAATAAATGCCATATATGACAGATCTACAGGTAATATCATACTCAATGGGAAAAAATTGAAAGCTTTTCCACTAAAATCTGGAACAAGACAAGGATGTCCACTGTCACCACTTCTACCCAATATAGTTTTGGAAGATTTGGCAACAGCAATTAGGCAAGAAAAGGAAATAAAAAGCATCCAAATAGGAAAGCAGGAAACAAAACTGTCACTGTTTACAGATGACATGTTAGTGTACATGGAAAATCCTATAGACTCTACCAAAAAACTGCTTGAACTAATTAATGAATTTGGCAAAACAGCAGGATACAAAGTCAATATCCAGAAATCAAAGGCCTTTTTGTATACTAACAATGAATCAGCAGAAGCAGAAATCATGAAAAAAATCCCATTCGATTTAGCAAAAAGAAAAATAAAATATCTGGGCATAAACCTGACCAAAGAGATAAAAGACCTGTATGCAGAAACTACACATCACTGAAGAAAGAAATCAGGGAAGACAGAAACAAATGGAAACATATACCTTGTTCATGGATTGGAAGAATTAATATCATCAAAATGTCCATACTACCCAAAGCAATATACAGATTCAATGCAACACCTAATAAAGTACTAATGGCATAGTTCCCAGACATAGAACAAACACTTCAAAAATTTATATTTAACCATAAATGATCCTGAATAGCACCTGCACTTTTGAGAAAGAAGAACAAAGTAGGAGGGATCACAATGCCTGATATCAAACTGTATTACAAGGCCACTGTAATCAAAACAGCCAGGCACTGGCATAAAAAAAGGCACATAGACCAATGAACATAACAGAGAACCCAGAAATCAACCCAACTCTCTACAGTCAATTAATATTTGACAAAGAGGACAGTAACATAAAATGGAGTAAAGATAGCCTCTTAAACAAATAGTGTTGGGAGAACTGAACAGCTACCTGCAGAAAAATGAAACTTGAGCTCAAACATACACCATACAGCAAAATAAATCCAAGGTGGATGAAAGACTTAAATATAAGCTGTAACACCATTAAGGTCCTAGAGGAGAACATTGGAAAGAAAATCTCAGATATTTCTCGCAGCAACATTTTTACCGATATGTCCCCTAGAGGAAGGGACATAAAGGAAATAATTAAAAAATGGGATCTCATCGAAATAAAAAGCTTCTGCATGGCTAAAGAAAACAGTATTAAATTAAAAAGACAACCAACTGTATGGGAAAACATATTTGCCAATGATACCTCAGACAAAAGTTTAATTTCCAAAATATACAAAGAACTTACACGACTCCACTCTAGGAAGACATCGAACCCAATTAAAAAATGGGAAAAGGACTTGAACAGACACTTCTCCAAGGAGGACATACAGAATATCCAGAGACACATGAAGAAATGCTCAATATCGTTAGCTATCAGAGAGATGCAAATTAAAACCAATATGAGATACCACTTTACACCAGTCAGGATGGCTGTCATAAACAATACAACAAACTACAAATGTTGGAGAGGTTGTGGGGAAAGGGGGTCCTTAGTTCACTGTTGGTGGGATTGCAGACTGGTACAACCTCTATGGAAAACAGTATGGAATTTTCTCAGAAAAATAAAAATTGACCTGCCTTTTGACCCAGCAATTCCACTGCTAGGATTATATCCCAAGAATCCTAAAACATCAATTTCAAAGAACCTATGCACCACAATGTTCATAGCAGCACAATTTACAATAGCCAGGAGTTGGAAGCAACCTAGGTGCCCATCAGTAAATGAATGGATCAAAAAATTTTGGTACATATACACAATGGAATTCTATGCAGCAGAGAGAAATAAGGAGCCACTTCCTTTTGCAACAACATGGATAGAACTGGAAAGCATTATGCTGAGTGAAATGGGCCAGGTGTTGAAAGACGAATATCATATGATCTCACCTTTAAGAGGAAGCTAAACAACAAAACAAACAAGCAAGCAGAATAAAAACAAAATATACTGAAACAGAGAATAGGGGGACAGTGACCAGAGGGGAAAGGGGAGGAAACTTAAGGGGAACAAAGAGGAGGGACTTGGAGCAACAAGTATGAAGGACACGAGGACAAGAACTAAAGGGGTTGGAAATGGGAGAGAGGTGGGGAGCACAGGGCGGGGCGGGCTGGGATGGGAGAAATAGATAGAAAACTGTACTTGAAAAATAACTACATAGCCCTGGCTGATGTAGCTCAGTGGACTGAGCACGCGCCTGTGATGAAAAGGGTCACTGGTTTGATTCCCAGTCACGGCACATGCCTGGGTTGCAGGCCAGGTCCCCATTAGGGAGACATGAGAGGCAACCACACCTTGATGTTTCTCTCCCACTCTTTTTCCTTCCCTTCACCTCTCTCTAAAAATAAATAAATAAAATATTTTTAAAAATAACTAAATAAAAAACAACAACAAAAAAAACAGTATGAAATTTTCTCAGAAAAGCAAAATGGACCTGCCTTTTGACCCTGCAATTACACTGCTTGGATTATATGCTAAGAATCCTAAAACACCATTCCAAGAAAACCTATGCACCCCAATGTTCATAGCAGCACAATTTACAATAGTCAAGTGCTGGAAGCCACCTAGGTGTCATCAGTAAATGAATGGATCAAAAAATTATGGTACATATACACAATGGAATCCTATGAAGCAGAAAGAAAGGAGGACCTCCTACCCTTTGCAACAGTATGGATGGAACTGGAAAATATGCTGAGTAACATAAGTCAGGCATTGAAACACAAGTACCATATGATCTCACCTTTAAAAGGAAGCTAAACAACACATGGAACAAGCAAGCAAAATAAAAACACGGACACTGAAATAGAGAACAGGCTACAGTAACCAGAGAAGAGAGGGGAGGGAAATACAGGGGGAAAAGGGGAAGGATTCACAGGAACTAGTGTAAGGACAAACTAAGGGGTGTAGAAATAGGAGGGAGGTGGGGAGCACTGGGAGGGGGTAGGCTGGGCTGGCAGTAAAAGACAGAAAACTGTACTTGAACAATAATTAAATAAAAATAATCATGTTATACAACCTTTGCAAAAAAAAAAAGGGCTGGGAAATGACTGACTGCCATGCTCAGCATGGCACAGTTAATTAATCAGGACCAACAGGGGCATTAAAACACAGTTCTGCTTCCACTATGCACAATGATGCCTACTTCTGTAGAAGTAGGAAAACAAAACCTAAGTTAATTAGGTTTTGTTTTCCATCCATATGATTACACAAAAGTACTAGCAGAGAAAAAATATTCCATATTTCCTGAGCCTCTCATTACTTGGATATTTTAAATCATCTGCATTCAGAGTTCTCTTCTAACACCAGTAGAACTTAGTAAGAAATATTCAAACATTTCACACTTCAATGTATCCAGGATGGGATCCTGGGACAGAAAAGGGACATTTGGCAAAAACTAAGAAAACATGAGAATACTATAGACTTCAGTTAATAATGCATCCGTATTGGTTCATTAATTCTGACAAATGTCCCACACTAATGTAAAATAAGGGGAAATTGAGTATGAGGTAGAAGGGAATTCACAACCTTCCTGTAAACCTAAAGCTATGGTAGTATAAAAATTTCTTTAAAACCTACTGTGCATACTCTTTACCTAATACTAACACTATATTAGCACTGGGATATAATGAAATTTTTGAGTCACAGGTATTGTATGTATTGATTTCTATTCCCTTGAGTAGTGATTTTTAAGTTGCGCCCTGCATAATCTGTTCAAAAGAAAAGTGTGAAAGCCACTCTCTAGTTTAAAGGACAGTAAGGGACCTGATTTGAGGAATATTCCAATTCATAGTACCTCCAAACAGAGAGAGCACTAGACTGAGGGTAAAACAAAACATGCATTCTAATACTGAATTAGTAACCAACTATGAAAAACACTTCATTTCTTTGAGCCTGTTTTTTCATCTACAAATAAGAGTGCCCAAGTATGTTTCCACTTCAAGGTCACAGTCCAACTAAAATATTTTCTTCAAAATGTTTCTTCTACGAAAAGTGAAATATATGATTGATATAATGCACATTAGAATACAATACTTTAATACAAGCCAAAAAGTGATTGTCTGCTCTTTTTCCTTTCTTTTTGGCCTATTATCAAGCAACTACTGTATTTATATCAAGAGTATTTTGACACAAATAGAAAGTGGATATTACATCCTTGTAACTCACCTATGTTTACATTTCAAGCTATACCACATTTATTTCACAAATATACAGGTACTGTGTACCTCCTTTGCTACCAAGAAGCAAACAATACAAAATATAGCTAAAAACATTATAATTTAAAAATACTTTCAAAATATGTCCCCAAGTTTTTTCTGCACTCATCTCTTTACCATTTCTATAACACTCTCAATGACAGAATGCACGGAAAATGCACAAAAGTAATCATATTAAATATACCAGGGCAATTTTTTAGCAACAGTTTTAAAACAAATCTAAGAGCTTTAAGAAAGCTCATTAACTGCCAAAAACACCTTCTTTTCATTACTCTGAGTTTCAAATTTCATAAATCCTAAGACAAAATTAAACTGCAACAATAATAACACTAAATATCAACTGGAAAATGCAGACTTTCCATGTTAAAATATGCTAATAATCTAGCAGCATCTACTATAAATTCCTATTGGACTTCCACAAATGACTAAGTTTGGTTAATAAAAACTACCTGCCACAAATATCATGTAATACTTGGTCCTTTCAAAATTATTTTCATACTCTCTTATGTTCAATGCTAGAGAAAAAACACGATGTTTAAGTGAAGAATGCCATCCACAAAATGAAAACTATCAATCAAAAGAAAATTCACCATTTTATTACTTAATTTTCAATCATCTACAGGTACTAAGCACAATTCTTAAAAGGTAATGGCTCCACCACAAGGACACTCGATTTCAAACATCGAGTACAGTAATTGAAGTTGTAACATTAAAAGGTCACTTTTTTTGTGTCCCCAAGGCAGTGCACCATTTCCAGAAGTACCACAATACCAGGTCGATGCTCGGAGTGGACATAGCAAGCTCGTATTCCACTTGACAGCTCCAAAATTCCATTTAAGATAATGTCTTCGGAGAGAGGATGCGTCTGTCAGATATTAAACTGATAATAACATAATACCCTTGATCTCAGCCAAAAGGCCGAGAAGCAATGAAAGGGTCACTTTTTCAATAAGTCTTGCTTCATTAGTGGCTCTGACCCAAAGTATACTGAAGGATTTCCCCAATGCTAATATCACTGAAACGCTTACTACCTTTGACACCTGAAAATAATAAAGATGAGATTTAAGACAACTTTTCATTAAAATATACATAGACTGTATCCTTAGGTATTACCTTAAAAATACTAATCCAATACACTGAAGGCTTCCATTTTGGCACATTATTTGAAACTTATTTTTATTATGGAATGAGAACGTGAAATATTAAACCACACTGTTCTATAATCTGCTTTCAAAAGGTCATCTGTATTAATGTTTTAAGTAGTAGATCTAACCACTTTTAACTTAACATTTTTAAATGGTCAAATTTCTAAAACCTCATCATTGAAACTTACTTTCAAAGTCTGTGCTGATAGGAAACTAAACACTGTATACAGGAGTTGAGCAGCTTCTCTCAGCAACCAGTGTTCTGCAATTCGCCTTCATTTTCTTCTGAGCTTTCATTTTCCTTGCACTGCAGTTTTGCACTTAGTGAAAAAAGATAATACGCACCACAACAGATAAGAATGGTCAGCTTTCTGTAATTACAAAGAGCAACAGTCCTCTTCTTAGTCCTCTCTTCCTCTACTCACACCAAGGAGAGTCCAGGGGAAGCAGGCCTCCCTCTGCTCCCTGCAGGATGCTGGGTCATGGGGCACCCCCTGGACTGTCTGAGGTTCAGACCCCCCAACCTTGGGCCTTTCCAAATCGCTCCCGCACCACCTTCTGCCTAAGATTTCCATGGACAACCGCGGACCCCATGTGTACACCTGGGACTGGGTCAGCCTGTCCCAGGATCGCCAGCATGTCAAGGCAGAGCTGTGAGCAGGAACAGCAACAGATGCCCGGGGACAGTGGGGCTGCTCACTGCTTGGTCCAGGGCTTCTCTTCACCAGGAGTCCAGCAGCAGAGAAGTCGCATTCCGACTTCTTGGAAAAGGTCAGCACCAGCGGCCAGGAGCAAATGGAGGGGCAGAACCTAGTCCAAGTGGGAAATCAAGCAGCCCAGCCAAGGAACTGACCTGTGCAGACCACCATCTTCCCCTGTTCTGGAAGCAGCCATTTTCCTGGCCTGGGAAGTCATGCGTGGCTTGTGGAACTCGCCCAGCTGCCTACCCTGCAGCTTCTTTTCTGGCCTAAGTGCAGTGGGGCTCCAGGCAGGTGGGGAAGAAGATAATGAGCTCTGATACCATAGGGGCAGCTTTCCGATTCTGAGATGGCCTCAAAATAGGACGTTAAACAGAGAGTTTATTGGGAGACCAAGTTGAGTCAATCACCATAATATAAAGCAGAGAAAAACAAAATGCCTTTACTCACCATGTGCTATGGGGCTGCTTATGCCAAGACAACATTGTGCCTTGATAAGTGCTGAAAGAGAGCAGGTTTCCAAACTCTTATTTTGTTCAAAGTGTTACATACCCAGTATTTTGTCATGTATAATGCACACTGTATTGCTCACATTTTTGAGGGGAAAATAAGGCTGAGCATTATAAACAAGTAGTACCGGAAATATCAAGTACCTGTTCTTTTTTTTTAAATTTTTTTATTGATTATGCTGTTACAGTTGTTCTATTCCCCCCTTCATTCCCCTCCACCCTACCCCCCCATCCCCACCATTACCCCCCTTTAGTTTATGACCATGTGTCTCAAATCCTTTAGATTCTATACTTCCCATGCTATTCTTGCCCCCTCATCTATTTTCTATCTACTGTCTATGCTACTTATTTTCTGTACCTTCTCCCCCCTTCTCCTCCTCCCACTCCCCTGTTGCTAACCCTCCTTGAGATCTTCATTTCTATGTTTCCACTCCTGACCTAGCTGTCTGCTTAGATTGCTTTTGTTTTAGATGTGATTGTTAATAACTGTGAGTTTGTTGTCCTTTCACTGTTCATGTTTCTTTAACTTCTTTTTCTTCGATAAGTCCCTTTAGCATTTCATATAATAAGGGCTTGGTGATGATGAACTCCTTGAATTTGATCTTATCTGAGAAGCACCTTATCTGTCCTTCCATTCTAAATGAAAGTATTGCTGGATAGAGCAATCTTGGTTGTAGGTCTTTGGATTTCATGACTTGGAATACCTCTTTCCAGCCCCCTCTTGCCTGGAAGGTTTCTTTTGAGAAATCCGCTGACAGTCTAATGGGGACTCCTTTGTAGGTGACTGTCCCCTTAGCTCTTGCTGCTTCTAGGACTCTCTCCTTCATTTTAATCTTGCCTAATGTAATGATGATGTGTCTTGATGTGTTCCTTCTTGGGTCCCACTTCTTTGGGACTCTCTGAGCTTCTTGAATTTCCTGGAAGTCTATTTCCTTTGCCAGATTGGGGAAATTCTCCTTTATTATTTGTTCAAATAAGTTTTCCACTGGTGGCTGTGCCTTTCCCCCTTCTGGTACCCCTATAATTCGGATGTTGGAGCGTTTAAAGATGTCCTGGAAGTTCCTAAGACTCTCCTCATTTTTTTGAATTCTTGCTTCTTCACTCTTTTCTGTTTGGCCATTATTTGCTTTCTTCTGGTCCACTCCATTGATTTGAGTCCCAGTTTCCTTTTCATCGCTATTGATTTTCTGTGCAATTTCATTCATTTCAATTAGTTTCATTTTCATATGGTTGTCTAATTTGTGGCTATAATCAACCAGTTCTATGAGGATCCTGATGACCAGTGTTTTAAACTGTGCATCTGAGAATTTTGCTATTTCTTCATCGCTTAGATATATAGGCTCTGGGGATTTGAGATCTTCTTGAGCCATTTTTGGTCTGTTCGTGTCCATTAAGTATGAGGAGCAGAGCCTTGGACTCTCAGGTCACTGGGTTGTGATGCTGTATGTGGGGGCGTGGTCAGAGTGGGGAAATGGCGACCCTCTCTGCTGTTTCTCACAGCTGGGTGAGGAGCAGATCCTTAGGTGGTTCACCAGGGCTGGGCCACTCAGGTGGCTGGGTTATGACGTTGTATGTGGAGGCGGGGTCAGAGCGGGGAAATGGCGGCGCCCTCTGCTGCCGCTCACCGTGGGGCCTGCTCAGTCCTGTAGTATCACCACCTCCTCCCTCGCTTGTCTATCTGCACACAAAAGCACAACCACAGTCAACCCGCAGCCCTGCTCCCTCCCTGTTTCCCCACGGTTGCTCGCTGAGTTGCTTACTAGGTCCAACCCTGCGCCTGGGTTCTGCAGGCCCAAGTCCATCTGACCGAGTTTTTCTGTGCAACCCCACACTGACAGCTGCTGGTTTCACCCCTCTTACCTGTCAGGCTGAAGAATTTGTTGTTATCAGACTTCCAAAAAGTTCAATTTTCCGTGTTCTGACTATGTTTTCTGTTGCTAATATTTAGTTGTCTCTAAACTTGGTTGTGAGAGGAGGCATGGCGTCTCCACCTATGCCTCCATCTTGGCAGAAGTCTTCAAGTACCTATTCTTGTGTGTTGTATTATTCACTCCTTAAATTTTTTTGTGCCATAATACATTCAAAAATAAATGCCAAAATACTTTTATAAAACAAAAACATCTAAATATAAACAAATATTTAAATTTAACAATTAGAAGGGTTGTCCCCCCTGAAAGCTGGGCCAAAATGGGGGTTCATGTTATACACAGCAAACTATGGTATTAATCATCCCATTCATAAGGTAGAAAGGAAGAAAATCTTACCATTTTGCCATGGCATGGATGGACCTGGCAGTCTTTACTAGTGAATTAAATAAGGGAACAAATACCATAGCATTGCACTAATGTTGAATGAAATTTAAAAAATAAAAACAAAACTGGTACATACAGAGACAGCTGTCAGAGGGAAGGGGAGTTTGGGTTCTTCATGAAAGAGGTAAAGTGGTTGAACAAAAAAAATTTATAGAATCAGACAACAGTATAGTGATCATCAAAGGAAAGTGGGTGAGAGATGTAGAAGAAGATAAATGGGAAATAAGTGGTGAGGGACAGACTTGATTCTGGATAGTGAGCACATAATGCAATTTACAGGAGGTATATCATAGAATTGTGTGTATTTGAAACATATACCAGAGACTATTTTTGAAATTTTAATGCTTTTTACCCTCACCAGATGGCATTTTTCCTTGCTTCTCAGGGAGAGGAAATGGAAACAAAGAAACATGGATGAGAAAGAGAAACATCAGTTGGTGCCTCCTGCACATGTTTGGACCAGGGATCTTTGGTGCCTGATTAGGAATCAAACCCACAACCTAGGTATATGCCCTGACCAGTAATCAAACCTACAATCTTTCAGTTACAAGACAATGGTCCACCCAACCAAGCCACACAGTCTAGGGCCATTGAGGGTGCTGGTCAGCCCACACAGTCCTTCCCGGCCCCCAGTCACCCATGGATGAGAATAAGTCTACTAAGACATGACCTACTTAGGGAGAAAAGGTGGCCGATTTCTCAAAGGCAAAGGGTCTTGAGCCTGTTCTTCAATGGGCTTTTATTGGGTTTGATTTGCATAGGAATACAGGGTATATAGGTAAACTCGTCACTCATTGTCAGGCAGTGATCATGAAATAGTACATAATGTTCAAAGAATGATGAGGGCTTATTCTGAGTCAGGGTAAAATAGCCAAAGTGACAAAAAAACTGTAAGAAACAAACTAATTTTACTCTTGGATCCTTATCTTTTAAATTGAAGGTATTAGCAAATCATGTTGCACAGGATTTTATGCATGGTTTTTTAGTCCTGATCATCCAGGGGAAACTGCCGTTTCCACCACTGGACTATGTGCACCTCCCCATTGTTTTGGGCTTAAATCTAGTGGCAGGTGAGGGCAGCCAAGAGATTAGGAGGCTTCTTACAGACAGATTGAGGACTCAGGAAATGTCTAAAGTGAGGAATGAGGGCCTATCACCCTCTTGTTCTATAGTCCTCCAGCTCTTTGTCTGATAGCCTATTCATAATGGGGCCTATTTTAGGTCGACCCCCCTTGAGGAATCTCATCCATCATTGGCTAATAAGTC